TGGTGCGAAGGAGTGCCCCGTCAGAGGCCCGTTACCGGATGTGTGACGTCATAGGGCTGGACTGGGGACTTTTTCAACTGACCATTATCTCAACAAGAAAAGGTCGTAGACAAAATCTGATTAGATATTTGAAATTAGCGATCCAAATTCTACAGGACAGGCCCACAAAGGAGAATTTGAATTTGTGAAGTATTTTTTAAAATCAGTAATAATGTTTTTTTTTTAAATTCACAGACTGTAGTTATTGAGTTAAGAAGTGTGCTCAGTGTGTGTGTGTGTGTGTGTGTGTGTGTGTGTGTGTGTGTGTGTGTGTGTGTGTGTGTGTGTGTGTGAGTGTGCGTGCGTGCGTGCGTACGTGCGTGTATGAGCGAGCCTATCCTTCCGGATTGTTTTGAGCCCCGAAGAGCGTGCTTTTCGCCAGGGCCACCGTCTCTCTTGGGTGGAGGAGGGTGAGACAGTCCAACCTCCCTGAATTCTCCCCAAAGAGAAGCCAGTATTTCAAACCTTGAGGGTTCTCGCTGCATAATAGATAGATTAGGTCCGATGTATTGTCTATTCTATTTTTGTAGGCCTGCAGCCCAGAGTAAGTAACCAGTCCTGATTTTTGCGGGTAGTGACTGTTCGCCGCAGAACCTAATTTGTGCCTCCCGTTTTACGGATATTGCCCCGTATACTTCCTTTGCCCGCGTGTGGGATACCGGAGGGTCTTTGGTAATCATTTTATCTGCTTCTGTCGATACTGATGCCTCTTATATTGCCATTGATACTGCTGCTAAGGCTGCTATTGCAACTACGATCGCACTGCTGCTATGACTTTTTTTCATTGCTTTTGCTACTGATGTTATTTTTACGTCTGCTGCTAATGTTTCTTATCACTCACCTATAATGAGGGCAGCTAGAACCCTCTCCGCCTCCACAGGAGGCTCACAGTCGGGAAACAGTGGTCGTAGCACGTAGGTGGCAAACACTAGGCTGGAAGCCGCCACACACACGGGGTTGATGATGATGTAGTTCATCCAGAGACACATGAAGGCTGCGAAATCCCCCCAGGCTCGCTGTATATACACATACTCTCCTCCAGACTCAGGGATACAGGAGCCCAGCTCGGCGTAGCAGAGAGCGCACAGCATGGAGAAGAAGCCGGCCACGCCCCACATCATTACGGACATACCTGGCGCATTGCACGAAAGAGACAAACAAATGACATGAAGAACACACTGTAGAGAAATAGTATGGGATTTATGCACATATCAATAGTATTATGTGATTTAAGTGGCAGGAACTTGGAGACGTCCATCTCTGAAAGGACCAAGCCAATTGGAAAATTCGAGTAAAGTGCTTTTCAAAGGGAACAGCGTCGGACCAAGCGGAGCCTTGAACCACTGAATCCGCAATCTCACGTTTACGTGTCCGGCACCCTGACTATTTGGTTACAGACACCACGAATGGGATGAGTCTATAGACTTATAATTTTCAAGAATGTGAAACAGTTTACCGTGGAGTGCACTAATGCACCATAATATTTGAAGCCAAATGGTGATTCGGGGGGGGGGGGGGGGGGGGGGGGGGGGGTACCGAGTTCACTCGACAATAGCGAGGATTCCCCCCCCCCCCTTCGTTTGCATAACCACATTGCACACCAGTACTGAGAATTTTTACAAGGGTTAAAGAGCAGAGGTCATGTCAGTGTCAGAACTAGAACATCATATTTTAAGACTATGAGGCTGAGTCCAGACCATGTTTATGCCCTGTGTGATTGTCCATAGGCTTGGGCGATCATGTTATGCTGAGGGGATCAACGGGTGTATGAGGGAGAGAAGAAGTATGTACGAGCAAGAGAGGAAGAATGTAATGTATTCAGATTGTATACCATCAGTTATCAAACTCCTATCATCTTAACCATCTTGCAACATATGTATTTTTCTCAAAAGCATGTAATATCAGAATACCACCTATTACTAACAGAAAGTCGATTGGGTATCTAGCTTAAACGTTATAACTGTTAACAATAATTGTTCATTTATATCGTATGTGTATGGTTGTGGGTATGTTTGTGAGTGTAAGCATATTATATTATGAGTGCATAGGTATTAGTGTCAAGAAGAGAAAATGTGTAAGAGAGAGCGCGGCGCATGCGCGCGTGTGTGTCTGTGTGTGTGTCTGTGTGTGTGTGTGTGTGTGTGTGTGTTTGTTTCTATGTATGTTTCTGTATGAGTATGTATGTTTGTGTCTGTGTGTGCACACACACTCACAAACACACACACACACACACACATGCACACACACAAACACACACACATACAAAAACACAAACACACATACACCCACACACCGGCACACACGAGACACAAATGTACATACTCACGCAAAAACACAAACACGAACACACAGACACACATACACACACATACACACGCACACACACGCACATACACACACACTCACTCACACACACACACACACACACACACACACACACACACACACATACACACACATTATACGTATATAGAGAAACTATCCATAAGATGAAGACTACAATGCGGAAAGGGAGGTATACCCAGAAAGAAGATTTATATTGTGAGCAATTGCATTTCTGTCAAAACAGTCTTATGGACTTCTGTCGATTTTTTTTCATTGTGCAGCTATTTTAAATGAGTCATCAGTGTGTGACCAGGGTCCTTTTTTCTTCGAAGAATTTTGATAGACAACATGGAATATGCCAATTAAGAGATCAATACAGAAAAAAAACGATGAGCAATTGACAATTGCGAGTGCATTCAAGAAGTTGGACCTCCGAATTAAACGCCAATTTCTACAATAAGACTCAAAATGAGTTGACAGCCTTGAAAACTCCAGAAAACGACCTGAGTTTTCCCTATTGAGGATTCGAGCCAAGGCAATCCGTTCCTTAGTCCAGCATGATATAACTGAGCTGAGGAGCGCTTTTGAAAAATTGTGACTAATGCCCTCCCCCCCCTCACCAGAGGTCTTTCTTTATTTTTAAAAAATAGTAAATAGTTTTACGTTGTCCTCACGACCGCATAAGGTCACGTGAGTGCTTCCTTTTGTTTACTCACCCACAGACCGCACATGGAGGGTTATGCCGACTGGCGAGACAAAAATCCCGCCCCCGACGATGATGCCGATGATGATACTGACGCAGTGGAACAGGTTGATCTGCTTCTTCAACTCTATTCGGCCGTCGTTGTCTCCACTGTCCAAACTCTCCGCCGAGTCCTCTCTGGGCTGCTGCTGTTGTTGCTGCTGTTTGATGGAAGTCATGGTGCTCGAAGGAATGGTGGGCAACTGGCCTTTAGGAGACACGCTCATATTGAGAAGAATCTGATGGTTTCTTTGGCTTGATGTGGGTGTTAGCTATTTGGTGCTCTACGTGAGAACCAGAAGGATTTATTTGTAGTAAAACCAGAAGGCTTGTTTCTATTGCTGACTGTAAGTTTTGACGTTGCGTAGCTGATATCGATGTTAAAAGTCTGTTTGCAGTCAATGAAGAAAATCTGTTCTTGTCCAGATAGAGTTTTAACAATGTACAGCAGATGATCGTATCAAAGGTTCATTTTCATGAAACCCAGATGTTAGGAGCGAAAGTTGACGCAAGGATATAAGGCTGTGAGACAGGTACAGGTGTCCAGGAGCGTTTACCTTACAACAAAACAACTGAAATCCAGATATTTGGATCTTTACCCGGAAAATGGCACAGGCTTGATTGATAGGCTGTTAAAAATCCTCGAAACCAGAAATAATATGCTCGAGCTTCACGACCAATCCATCACTAACATCTGTAGTCCGGACTACTCTCTTGAAATCACACCGATGCTGTAGATATGGAGCAGTGTTGTTTACTCCGATTAACAACAGCTTTCAGAGAACCACGAGATCGTCACGGAGACGGGTTTGTATAATACATCCAACAGCATATCCACGTCACATACCAGTTTCTCGAGACAAACTTGACACATGTCACACGACACAGCAAACGTGAATAGAGATACCTTTGAATTATCATTTGTTGATTTGTCCAGGTAATGCGTAATTAGAATGAAAAAAAAAAATGAGAATGAAGTCTAAGAGTTCATGAGCAGATCTTTAGTTTTCACAGGTTTGTGAAGATGCAGATATTCTATTCCTGAAGAATAAAAAAAAACAAGTTCTCCTTATCAAATTTGTCACAGAATGAAAGGCAGTTATATTCCCAACAATTTACTTTCGCAACCAGCCAACATTTTTTCAAATCCGCTAAGTCAGCGCTCCAAGATCACAGCTATATATCTCTGACATTTGTTGCATTTTGAAAAGATTTACTGAATCTAACAGCTGGTTGTCTGCGGTAGTGGAATACATTGTTCCCTTGCTTTGCATTGTACACATATCTATCTATCTATCTATCTATCTATCTATCTATCTATCTATCTATCTATCTATCTATCTATCTATCTATCTATCTATCTATCTATCTGTCTGTCTGTCTGTCTGTCTGTCTGTCTGTCTGTCTGTCTGTCTGTCTGTCTGTCTGTCTGTCTGTCTGTCTACTCATCTAATATCATATATATAATACATAAACACTCGAAGAAAGTCTCATGTTTACGACTGCCAATGCCAACATCCTACCTCTTCTTTCAAAGGATACGCTATCACAACATCACTACGCCCCCCCCCCCCTTTTCCTCCTAAAAATATCAACTAAACACAGGCACTCGTGCAATAATACAATCTCTTACCGTAAGTCTCCCTTCTCTTCACACTCTCTCTCGGACTCTCCTCTGCGCAATCGTGATATGAGACCCAACGGTAACTTACTATTCCAACTAATTACACGCTTAAGATTCACAGAGTTATTCGACACAGTTGTGGTCTCGCATGTACCAGCACACATGGCATAGCAGTCACATGATAAGAGGTATTGCAACTAGTTGCAGGGTTCGCACTGAAAAAATCTTTGTTTTCTTTCGTTTTGTTTTGTTTGTTTGAGGTTATATAAAATCTGACACGGATACTGCTTTCTTCAAGGATTTGACTTCATGCCGACCTTATTACCTCAGCTCTGTGTGAGTAAAGGGAAACATTTCGAGTCTGAGTTACAGAGAATTACATGGACACAATAAGGATCTGTTCGTGTTTATGTGTGTGTTTGTGTGTTTGTGTGTGTGTGTGTGTGTGTGTGTGTGTGTGTGTGTGTGTGTGTGTGTGTGTGTGTGTGTGTGTGTGTGTGTGTGTACTTGTGTTTATTTGTGTGTGTGTGTTCATTTGTGTGTTTGTTTATGTTTGTTTGTGTTTTTGGGTTTGAGATCTTTTCTGTCTTTTTTTTTTTTTTTTGTGGGGGGGGGGCAGGGTCAAAGAGAAAGAGAGAGAGAGAGAGAGAGAGAGAGAGAGAGAGAGAGAGAGAGAGAGAGAGAGAGAGAGAGAGAGAGAGAGAGAGAGAGAGAGAGAGAGAGAGAGAGAGAGAGAGATAGAGAGAGAGAGAGGGGGTTAGGGGTGAGAGGGGAATAGAGAGAGGGGAGGGGGGTTAACAACAAAAGAAAAAAAAGAAGGAAGACCTACTACTGTTGCCCTCTGTCAACGACAGATCATGAAAATAACGACCATTTTGTGCTGTGAAAAGCAGAAGAGAGAGGCAGAAAAAGTAAAGAGAGTTAAGAACGTAGCCTAATGAGATGAAAACTGACTACCACTGCCCTGCTAATCCACATACTGTAATGTAACATAATAGCACTGCATAATTTTTTGCTTCATTTCAAAACAGAAAGAGTATCTGATTAATAATCTTAGCAATTAATAGTTGAGGAAACTTTAAAACAATCCACATGCGGGTGGTTGCTGGCGGATGCTCTGGTGTGGTTTACTCCTCCTTTCCTATCAAATATCTATCGTCCTGATCTCTCCTCCATCTGTTTTTGTGTCTGTAGCTGTTTTGTAACACGCCTTATATTCGGCACTTATATGACCTTAATAATAATAATAATAATAAATAGCATTTGTATAGCGCATATCCCCGCTCAGCAGCAGGCTCTATGCGCTTTACACTATATTATTACCCCAGCAGACCATAGAACACTCCGAAACATTCTCAGCTTCCCGGGAAGCATACAGTGCGAGCAGCCGATTAAGCGCTCAAACACTAACAAACTGACAAGATCTTTCGCTGTCTATAGCCGGGTACCCATTCTCACCTGGGTGAAGTGAGGAAAAATCGTGTAAAGTGCCTTTCCCAAGGACACAACGTCGGGCCCTTGACGGGATTCGAACCCACGACCTTACGGTTGCGAGTCCGAGAGCCTAACCACTAGGCCACCGACGCCACACGTGTTGCAAGTGTCTTTAAACGCTTACTAAAAGAAACAAAACAAAACAAACAAATAAACAATCTACTTGCAGATCAATTCGTACGCAAGTTTTTTAGACAGTGTCAGCCACTGTCAGGTCAAAACTCGTGCTGAGTGGAACACAACATCTCAGCAGACTGACGAAGATGCTCAGTAAAACAGGTTAGATAAACGTTCCCTCGCGGGAATCAAACTCGCATGTCTTCTGTGTGCAAGGCAAAGAGCTAGCCCAACGAATAGGGCAGAAATGCTGTTGCAGTTAGGAATATTATAGCACGCGTCCCCCCCCCCCCTTCCATTTTGACAGCACAAAGAATACATTGGCTAAGAGTAGATATTAGTATCCGCCCCTGACAGGAGACAGAAAATTAGGCGAAAGGGTGAGGGGAAGTATGTATGTGTGTAATTTTATTTTTTCGGATTTTTTTCAACTTTGATTACTTTCTGTTATACGATTCAACAGTAGCTTGAAGTGAATAATTACATTGATTTGAATGAAACAGGTTTTCAAAACTACTTATTAAATATTTGAGGTTATCTTATTCTCCCATTTATCCCAATTTTAAATATTTAATTTTTTAGCGAATTTATAGCACACGTTGCAAAGCTACAGTATAATGTAATTAACTTGCAATTAGAAATAGTTCAAATTCTGCAGACAACTTGCAATAAAAAAGAAACATACTGGCTTATTCCAAATGTTTCCACTAGACTATACAAGTATAATAAATGATGTAAGTCAACAGACGCGACAACCTGCTTCCCATTAAAGGTCACAGCTGTTGACTATAAAGACACAATCATGACGAAATACTCAGAAAGTCAGTCAGAAGACTGCAGCAAGCAGATCCTCGGTCAGCTGTAGAAATGTACAAGCCGAAATTGTGAACAAAAATGTTGTAGTAGCTGTTTCTTATTTTGTGGTATCGGTTGCATGTGTGCCAGAAAATTGTCTGTCGAAATTCAAATTTTAAATGTTAAAAAAGCAAAGAAAAATAAAAAATATAGGTACAATCACTAAAAGAATTAAGCAGTTTTTCTCTCTTCTTTAAAATGTGGCTTTTATTCTAACGGTTTGCCGAGAAGATAAGAATTAACTCTTAAAATACTGCGCGTCAGTTCAGCTGGCTGATTCACTCGGTTGTTTACAGTCACAACAAAAAATACACAAACCCCCAGCAAATCCATCTGATCTTTAAGCAAACTGAATTTTATTGGATGATGCATTCATTTTTACACCGTTTGGGGTTATTTTATATAAATATGTTTAATCCATTCAGAGCTGAGATGCTTTAAATAAATGTTATGTGTGTACAAACAAGACTAACTGTTCATTCAAGAGAGATTTAAACAAATGCACAATGTATTTCCCCGTATATTAAGAATAACAAACAACAAATACAACTTAAAAGATATCAACTCTAAACCCATAAAACAAATTAATGGCAATAAACCAGTTGGGGAGAACACATGCGAGTCCGCACTACAGTAAAGAGGCTGATAATTAATTAAAGGCGAGTTAAAATATTATAGCATAGTTTATGATGCACAAAAACTGGATGACAAAATTAGCTGTGAACAAAGTTGTTTTTTTGTTTTTATTTGTGTGTTTTTTTCTTTGACGTAGCCGTCTATACTAAGAATTACAGACGGACAGTCCTTAACCCCTTTTGGCACTATGCTGGACCGTAAATAAGTGCAAGTGTTTTGCTTCTCCAACAACACAGTTTTAGGTCATTTAGGAGGCAGGCTGCTTTTGACACTGTCTGTCAGGGCAATGATTTTAAAAAAATACTGCCGCCCTCGGGAAGCAAACTTGTGTCTTCTGCTTGGTTTGTCTTTTTAAAACTCTAGGAGATTTTACACCCTCATCAACATAATTTATATAATTTGGGAAGCAGGCTTTCAACCCTGACTGTCAAGACCAACCCATGCTGTGAGGGATACGACATCCCAGCAGAAAAACCGAATACTCGATAAAAATTGTCACCCACTCGGCAATCGAACTCAGGTCTCCTGCGTT